GCGAACGAGGAGGAGGACTGCTCTGCACCGGACTGTACCGCACTGGGTTGCAGGTGTGTGTAGAGAGCACGGTATACGTGCGTGGAGATGAGCCGCTTGGCAGCAGGCGAGTCAAGGCACGTGGAGGGGGGGGAGGAGGAGAAGGACGAGGAGAAGGCAGTACCCGCACCCTTATTGCCCACTCGCTGCTGCTCCTGCTGTCCCTCCACACCCTGCCCCCGGCCCGCCCTTCTCCCCCTTCCCTTCCCCATGCTCCCCCCTCTCCCTGTTCCCTTCCCCACGCCCCCGCCTCCCCCACTACCCTTCCCTCCGCTCCCACCTCCCCTAATCCCCTGCTCCGCGCCCTGCGTCCGCCCCCGCGCCTGCATGTGCTTCAGGAACACCACGCCCTGCTCTGCGGCCTGTATGTCTGCCAGCACCGGGACGAGAAACGCCGGCCAGTGGGGGTGCAGGGGGGTGGCAGGGGCAGTGCCGGGGGTGGTGGGTATGCTGGGCCAGCCCTCTGTGGTACTCATGGGGGCCGTGGGGGCAGTGGGGGCAGTGGTGATAGTGGTGCTTGTAGTGGCAGTGGTGGTGGTGGTAGCAGCGGTAATGGGGGTAGTGGGGACAGTGGTGGTGGTGGTGGGAGTAGTGGGTGGGGAAGAGGCTGCAGTGGTGCGAGGAGATGGCACGGGGCTGGCAGGGATCGGCCGAAGCTCATGCTTGGAAAGAAACTGTACAGCAAGATGGCACACACATGCACACCATGCACGCACACGCCACATGCCATGCGCGCACAGGCCACACGCCATGCCATGCACGTCCCATGCAAGTCACGCGCATGCCATGCAACCACGCACATGCCATGCAACCACGCACATGCCATGCACGCACATGTCAAACGCATGTCAAGTGCATGTGACGGGCATGTCACACACATGCACATACACGCACGCAAACGAAAGCAGAACTGAAGAATGAGAGTCACTTTCTACACATGAATGTGGTATACATGACTGCTGATGGGAAGGAGGAAAGGAAAGAGAATCCAGGGAAGCCTAAGAGAGTGATGTGACGTGATGTGTTGTGATGTGACGTGTTGTGTTGTGATGTGACGTGTTGTGATGTGATGTGACGTGTTGTGATGTGACGTGCTGTGTTGTGATGTTACGTGTTGTGATGTGATGTGTTGTGATGCGATGTGTTGTGATGTGATGTGTTGTGATGTGATGTGTTGTGATGTGATGTGTTGTGATGTGATGTGTTGTGATGTGATGTGTTGTGATGTGATGTGTTGTGATGTGATGTGTTGTGATGTGATGTGTTGTGATGTGATGTGTTGTGATGTGATGTGTTGTGATGTGATGTGTTGTGATGTGATGTGTTGTGATGTGATGCATGGCACGCTTGGCATCATGAGTGACCCCACAGAGGTGACTTTAGAATCGACTCTGAAGCTACGAGTGCCATGTGTTGCACGCACGTCATGACTGCATCATTGGAATCCCTACACCAAACCACACCACACCACACCACACCAGACCAAGAATCGCAGCTCAAAACAAGGCCATTAGTGGTTTTAGAGCACGCTAGCTGTCCCTCTATATTGCGCTCGCCAGGGCAGCAGAGCGGGTGGCAAAAACATCTCTGCCACTTGCCACCAGCCAGCTCAGCATCAGCATCGCACAGCTCAGCATTGCACAGCTCAGCATCGCACAGCTCAGCATTGCACAGCTCAGCATCGCACAGCTCAGCATTGCACAGCTCAGCATCGCACAGCTCAGCATTGCACAGCTCAGCATCGCACAGCTAAGCATCGCACAGCTCAGCATCGACAGCTCAGCATAGACAGCTCAGCATCCACAGCTCAGCATCCACAGCTCAGCATAGACAGCTCAGCATAGACAGCTCAGCATCCACAGCTCAGCACCGACAGCTCACCTCCTGTTTCAAAGCAGGATGGCGCTTCCCCTTGAGCACCCAGTCGTCAATCCAGCTGAGCAGCATGTGCAGCGACGAGAGCAGCAGGCGCAGCACTGTGAAGTGTGCATGCTGCGAGGAGGGCAGGGGAAGAGGGCGGAGAGGAAGGGTATGGAGGAGGAGAAGGTTCGCCTTCACACCCCGAGGGGAGGGCCCAGCCGTCACCGACGGAGAGCAGCAGGTGTGGGCGTGCAGCGAGAAGGGCAGGAGAAGAGAGTGGGGCAGGAGGGGGGAGAGGAAGGGGGAGAGGAGGGGGGAGAGGAGGGGGGAGAGGAGGGGGGAAAGGAGGGGGGAGAGGAGGGGGGAGAGGAGGGGGGAGAGGAGGGGGGAGAGGAGGGGGGAGAGGATGGGGGAGAGGAGGGGGGAGAGGAGGGGGGAGAGGAGGGGGGAGAGGAGGGGGGAGAGGAGGGGGGAGAGGAGGGGGGAGAGGAGGGGGGAGAGGAGGGGGGAGAGGATGGGGGAGAGGAGGGGGGAGAGGAGGGGGGAGAGGAGGGGGGAGAGGAGGGGGGAGAGGAGGGGGGAGAGGAGGGGGGAGAGGATGGGGGAGAGGAGGGGGGAGAGGAGGGGGGAGAGGAGAGGGGAGAAGAGGGGGAAGAAGAGGGGGGAGAAGAGAGGGGAGAAGAGGGGGGAGAAGAGGGGGGAGAAGAGGGGGGAGAAGAGGGGGGAGAAGAGAGGGGAGAAGAGGGGGAGAAGAGGGGGGAGAAGAGGGGGGAGAAGAGGGGGGAGAAGAGGGGGGAGAAGTGGGGGGAGAAGAGGGGGGAGAAGAGGGGGGAGAAGAGAGGCGAGAAGAGGGGGGAGAGGAGGGGGGAGAAAGAGTATCGAAGAGGAGGTTGCCATTCACAGGAAAGCACCCTCTCAGTCGCCAGTGAAACACGGCAGTGTGCACAGCAGCAGTTCTGAGAGTGCCTCAATGAGGCAAGTCAGTGAAACTTGGCTGGGCCGGGCCTGGTCCGTCATTTGGGACTTTTGAGTCATCTCTAAAGTCACCTCGGCTGGGCCGGTCTGGTCCGTAATTTTAGGACAGGCCACGAATGAGGGCGGTGGAACTTCATTCCGTGACGACGGAGCCCGTAAGTAGGTGAGGCCCACTGGCCTTGGCTCGGCCCGTTGCACGGTTGGTCCGGGGCCGCCCTTACCATGCCGTATGATGCCACCGCCCTGTCATGCCACAGCCTTGTCATGCCACGGGACGTCATCGCCAGAACGGATACTGTTAGCCAGCTGTCACTCCGTCCAACAACCAGACTGCCACTGTTCATTGCCTGTTACTACTTATCACCGGGTACCATCTGTCACATTTATGTTACTGTCTGCACTGCCCATCACTCACTCACCCACTCACTCACAGTGTTCTGGCTCGCAGTGCTGTGCAGGCACGACAGCAGCACATCCACCGTGTGAGCGTTCACCACCGCCCGTGCCTCCCCTGCTGCAACTTGCCTTTCTGCTGCTCCTGCTGTTGCTCCTCCTCCTGCTGCTGCCCTTGCTGCTCCCGCCGCTGCTGCCGCTGCTCCGCTGACCTCTGGTCCGTCAGGCGGAGGGAGCAGAGAGGTGGCGGTAGGAATTAAGCTGGCAGCGATGGTGTGAAGAGCATGCAGAGAGCTGATGGCCCTGTGGGGGGGAAGTGAAGGAGGGAGGGTAAGGTGAGGGTACGTGTGGTGGGGACGAGGGCATAATTGCCCTGAATGTCACAGACGTGGTATAGAAAGACTCACTGAATGTCATCCTGCTGGTATAGACGGACCCACTGGGGTGTCACAGACCCGTTATAGAGGGACCCATCATGAATGTCACAGCCTGACTGCTGCTACGTACGAGGTTGCTGTCGAGAAAGTGCTGTACTCAAAACGAAGATGTGCATCGTGTTCTTAAGACCTCACTCACCCTTGTCCGCGTTTGAAGGTGGATCGCTTCAAGAGGTCTATAGGCTCCAAGTCACGCCGGAGGTCCGTTTCTAGAGACTAACAAGTTAACATGATACGCAATGACACGCAATGACACGCAATGACACGCAATGGCATGCAATGACATGCAGTGCCATGCCATTCAATGCCACTCGACGCCATGCCATGTAGTGTGATACAATACCATGCCACGCAATGCCATACGATATCATGCCATTCCGACATCACGTGAGAAACCACCACATGGATATTCTCGACAGAAAAGTGACAGCGGAGACGAACAGCATTCATGAAAAGCAGGCAACTGGAAAAAAAAAAAACGCCGTTTACTGCAGCTACTAGAATCATGTTCGCGTGACCAAAGTAAGGAATTCTGAACGGGACAGCAAATCTGTAGGCCACGGCCACGGAATCCGTACGCGAGCTATTTGTTCCACGTGGAACGCGAGGTCTCGGAGGGCCACAGGCGGATTCGGCTGCGATTTAACGCGCGCGACGAACAGCTCCACCTCCTGAAGCTCCTGCGCGACCGACTCTGCGAACTCGCACGAATCTTCGCACGCCGGAGTGGCGTGTTCAGGCGGCGGAGCTCGGCGGGACTTCTGAGGCGCCTCAAAAGGATTTTGCGCGACCGACGCTGTTGCGAACCCGAACGAATCCTCGGACGGAGAGAGCTTAAGCGGAGCACGGCGGTATCCGTCGCCGCGATCAGCGACGGCGTTGGCCATTGGAGGAGCCATACGTGCGTGCCTCTAACGGGCTGCAAGAATTCAGAAGCTGCCTTCAGTTCACTTCACCTACGATTGTGAATATTCACAGTGAGGCGTGGTTGAAGGAGAGTATCGCCGCTGAGATTGTTTTATTACAGAGTCTGGTTCTGTGGGTTGCAGAGGACAATAGCGTGGGTATAGTACAGTAGCGTGTCGACAGTTCACGCCGCTTTTGTGAACATAAGGACGCGGCACCTCCAGCACCGATCCTGCGATCGATCATGCGCAGGATCGAATGTTTTAGGAGTTTTAAATGGTTTCAAAAGCTTTAAAGACTTTCAGCAGGATTTCAGTACGGTTGAATCAGCGATCCTGCGATCGATCGTGCAAAATTGCTTGAGGTGCCGCGTCCTAATCGCTGTACTTGGGCGGGTCATGTTTGTTTACGTCTATAGAAGTCCTTCGGGTTTTCAGGTAATCGAGAAGCACTACTGGACGAACTTCGCTCCGAAGACACTGTTAGCGCTGCTGGGGACTAGTTACGTGGATTTCCAATCTGAGAGCGTTCACTTATTATGCTCGTTAGGAAGTCGAAACATGATTGGTCTAAAATCCGATTGGGGAAGTATCAACCCAAAACACCATGTGGCAAAGTGTTTAGGATTGATCTCACTCGAAAATGCGTACTAAAAAAATAAAACCCCGATGGGAATGGATCTTACCTAAACACCAAACGGGTTCCCGTGTTTAGGGTTGACCCCTCCCAAAAATACGCCAGGAAAAAATAATACACACCAATGAGCAGCATCAACCCTAAACACCTTGCCGCATGGTGTTTAGGGTTGATGACTCCCTGAATGGCATACCACCTGAGAGGGTATATTTTTTTTGCCCGAAAAATGACGTTGACCGGTCGACGTGGACGATGACCGTCTATCCAGACGGTCATCGTCTGTTTGTTAACTGTTTTGACCAATCAGGGTCGGAATTCCTTTTGAGCGTAATAAGTGAACGCTCTCAGATTGGAAATCCACGTAACTAGTCCCCAGCAGCGCTAACAGTGCCTTCGGAGCAAATTTTGTCCTTCTCGATAAACTAAAAACCCAAGTCCTTCTATAGACTGGTAGATATATTACCGTATGATACTTGCTTGTGCTATGAAATTTGTTAGGGCAAATTAATTTATCTGTTAATTTATTTCAATTCAAATTCTAGGCAAATGCCTACTGTGCTTGGTGAGTGCTTGCAGAGTGACGGATTCATGTTCAGGACGACTTCCACAGTCAACACTTGGCTTCAGCAAAATAGAAGATGTATCTGAAATTACAGCATCACAAAAGCTACACACACTACACCAAAATCCACCAACCCTGCACACAAGCCCACCTATTTAACCCTCCCACCCTCACACAACCCCCCTTCCTCCTCCCCCTTCTCCCCAACACACATACGCAGCATCACCAAGCAACCGTCAACAGCAGCAGCACAACGCCTTTCTACAACCCCACGTCAGCTCAGCTGGCAGAACTCCACTGCACCATGTTGCCACCAGCAGCAGCACGCACCACCGTCTCGCCCGCCTCACCCTACGCCATGGTTTTTGCTGTGCTAGCAAACGAGGTACCGCCGGCCTTGAGCGCGCCCTTCATGCCGCCGTTGCTGTACCCCTTGGCCGCCGCCTTGAGCGCTTCAACGCCGCCCTTCTGCACCACCTTCTTCGCCAGCCCTCCCGCCTTGCCCGCCGCGTTCTTGATCCCGTTCTTGATCTTCTTCCAGCTCAGCAGCACCCGCACCGCCTCGTCCAGCCCGTCCGTCGCCTCCCCCACCTCCTCCTCCTCGACACCCACGTCCACGTCACCGCCGCTCGCTTCCAGCAGCATGCGGCCCCAACTCGCCGCGTCCTCGCCAGCGCTTCCCCCAGCAGCGACATCGCCCCGCAGTGGCGCGGACGCGGCGTAGAGTGCGGGAAGGGAGACGAGGATCAGAGCGAGGACGAACAAGGAGCGAAGAGAAGCCATGGTAACGGTCGCGCCGGATTCTAGAGATTAACACTGCGAGCGATGATGAGGATCAGATTCGGTTGGTTTTTTCAGCACTGAGAGAAGCAACTCAGTTGGCAATGGTGACTGGTTGGATTGAGGCGGTTTAAGTAGCGAAAGACGAGGAGGAGGCCGCGAGGGTGGTGAAGGGATCCGTGGTGCGTCGCCAGCATGATGGCACTCCACCCAGCAGCCCGCGGTTATTGCTGGCATGGCGCCGCCGCACAACGCGCATCATGCGGAGAAAGCTACTGCTCTGCACGCTAGTGCGCTCGTGCTAGGATAGATTTTGAGTCGGAGATGAACGGCAGCGCGGCCGCAATAATGGCTGCTAGTTCATTCAAAACAATGGGCTCGTCAGATCGCCAAGGAGGTGATTTTCGAGAGATTTCGAGAGGCAGGAAGCGAGGGTTGGGTGGGGAGAGAGGAGTGCGCCGTCTGTACCGTAGCGGCATAAACCTAGTTCTTTCACTCCAGAAACTCGCAGTTATTGCTCGCATCATGGCGCCGCACAATGCGCAAAGAGCGACTGCCGCGTGAGGCGTTGGGATGCTACGCTGGTAACGAGGACACACGCTGCTGTGCTCCTGGGTTGGAGAGCTAATGGTGCAAGAGAGGAAGCTTCGAGATCAACAGCAGCGCGGGAAGAATGGCTCTCAGCGGGTACTTGTTTGTGGAGGGGAGGATGGATGGAGGAGTGCTTCGGGGCTGGTTTCCCAGGCAGCTCGATCCCAACGAAAGCAGCCAGCCCAACAAAGTATCAGCGAATTGGTCGACGAGAAACGAAACGAGAAGTTACCTGGGCTTCGTTCGGATGGCCTGATCTAGACGCTGCGTTTGAACACTGGAAGTTTCGATCGCCCGGCCATTTTTACAAAAGTAACTGGTTTCGCTTCTCGTCGAGTTGTTCGCCAACGCATTATCGAAGTGGCTGGTGTTCGACTAGTGCTGGTTCGCAAACAAGCCATTCTCCCGCTGAACGCGCTCCCGAACAACTCTTCGTCCCCTTCGAAAAACTCTTTCCCACCAGAAGCCATTATTGCCGCCGCTGATCTCGGAGCTCTCTTGGCATTGAGCTCTCGACTCAAGTCCTCGTTGACCAGCGTGCCGCATCCAACGCCCCACGCGACAGTTTCTCTTTGCGCATTTTGCGGCGCCATGATGCGAACAATAATGAGAGAACTAGGTTACTGCGTACGACGGTACAGACGGCACTCTCCTCTCCTCTCCTCCCCACCCAACCCTCACCTTCTGCTCTCTAAAAAATCCCTTGTTGGCGATCTGGCGAGGCGAGACCCTATGCCAGTGAGGCGATGAGTTGAATCAAGCCATTATTGCCGCGCTGCCGTCCAACTCGATTGCCTCTGCCACACCCCAGAAGTAGTACAGCTTTCTCCGGATGTTGCGCGTTTTGCGGCGGAGCCATGCCAGCGATAACCGCGCGATGCTGGGAGGGGGCCATCATGCTGGCGACCATCATGCTGGCGACCATCATGCTGGCGACCATCATGCTGGCGACCATCATGCTGGCGACCATCATGCTGGCGACCATCGTGCTGGCGACCATCGTGCTCGCCTCCTCCTCCTCCTGGTCTTTCGCCGCTACTTAAGTCGCTTCCATTCCGCCATTCACCATCACCAACCGAGTGCTTCTCTCAGGGCTCGAAAGTCACCCAAATCTGATCTTTATCGTCGTTCGCAGTGCTCTCTTCTATAATCCGACGCTTCTACGCTCTCTAAATCGCTCGTCACCATGGCCACTCTTCGCACCGTGTTCATCCTCGCCTTGGTCCTCGTCTCGCTCCCCGCACTCTATGCCGCGTCCACGCCACTGCGGGGCGACGTCGCTGCTGGGGGAAGCGCGGGCGAGGACGCGGCGAGTTGGGGGCGCAAGCTGCTGGAAGCGAGCGGCGGTGACCTGGACGTGGGTGGCGAGGAGGAGGAGGTGGGGGAGGCGACGGACGACGGGCTGGACGAGGCGGTGCGGGTGCTGCTGAGCTGGAAGAAGATCAAGAACGCGGCGAATCAGGCGGCGAAGAGCGAGGCGGGGCAGAAGGCGGGAGGGTTGGTGAAGAATGTGGTGAAGAAGGGCGGCAAGGAGGCGCTCACGGCTGCAGTCAACGCGTTCCGCAGCGGCAAGGGCGCCAAGGGTGCCCTGCAGGCGGGCGCTGGCTCGTTCGTCAAGACCGCGAAAACGATGATCTAAGTGGGAGAGGGGAGATTGGAGGGGTGAGAGGCACGGCGGAGTGGAGTTGGGCAGCGGCAGGCAGGGCAGCAGCGCAGCTGGTATGGTGCCTGCTGCTGGTAGCAGCTCGGTGCAGTGGGGTTCTGCAGCGGCAGACAAGGCACTCCATTCGCTGCTCCTGCTGCTGCTGTTGCCTCCACTGCTGTCGGTGCTTCTGCCTGCTGCTGCGGTCCCTTCTGTCTGTTGCTGCTGATGTGGCTTGCAAGTGGCACGGTTTGCAAACTTGGTTGCTTAGTTCTGTCCTGGTGATGCTGCTGGGAGAGGTATGTGTGTGTGGGGGGGTGGAAGGGTTAGGTGGTGTGTGTGGGTGAAAGAGTTAGGTGGGCGTGTGTGGTGTGAGTGCATGGTTGGTAGCGGAACTGGGTGCTCCTTTGGTTCTTCTGTAATCGCAAATATATCTGCTGCTACCATGCATTTGCTGAAGGCATTGAAAGTTAGTATGGGGTCGTGAAAAGAATCTTGGTGTTCTGAATCTGAAATTGTCATACATCACGCACTTACCACACACACCAGGCAGTCACCACACACATCAGACACTCGCCACACGCACTGCGCACTCACCACACACGCCACAACTGGCTCACTGTCTGTCCTGTCCTGCTCACGCACACCGTCAGTTGAGGTGAAGAGTGGCAGAAAGAATTCAGGCTCTAGATAACGTTACCGACGCTGACCACCTTGAGAGCAAGTGGGAGCTGCTATGGTTCCGAATTTGAATCAAGTGGGAGCTGCTATGGTTCCGTAGTTGGCATTTTGACGCGCCACTGATAGCATATACACCCCAACCCTGATGACATTCTCTTAAAAATCTGATTCCATATACCGAATCTGCTTCTTTCCACAAGCAATTCCTGCACCCTTCTTCGCATCCTCTTCCCACATACCACTCTTCCATTTGCTTCCTCCCGGCTAACCTTGCTTGATGCACTTGTCATGCATGTTCTTCCCCAATACATCCCTCTCATGCCGTACTTGCCCTCACACCCTCTCTTCCCTCCCCCACAGCCCCTGCCAGTGAGCCACTGGAGGGGGGTATTTCTCCCTGTGATATTCCATGTCACCCCTTTGCATCCCTGCGTCTGTCCTTGCCCTTCCACACCCAAGCAGCCCCTGCCAGTGATGGTCGGGTTCCTGCAGGGCAACCCAGTGAGCCACTGGAGTGGGGGAGTAAACTTGTCATAGCAACCCTCACCGCTTTGCACCCCTGCATCCATCCGTGCCCTTCTCTTCCCTCCTGCACAGCCCCTGCCAGTGATGGTCGGGTTCCTGCAGGGCAACCCGATGAGCCACTGGAGCGGGGGAGTCAACCTGTGCGCACAGTTCAACAATCATGCGCTTGTGTCTTTCACAGTGGAAGCCCCATTCACCGCTCTGCACCCTACATCCGTCCTCGCCTCCCCACCTTCCCAACAGCCGCTGCCAGTTAGTTTTTGGTTCATGCAAGGCAACCCAGTGAACCACTGGAGCGGGGGAGTCAACCTGAAAGCCTCCTGCTGTGAAACCAGGGGACATACTTGGTGAGTGACGGGGTTGCGTGGTAAGGAAGTGATTGGGGTGGGTGAGACGAAGTGAAAGTGAGCCACGGGGGAGCCAACCTATGGAAGCCACCTGCTGTCGAGTCAGGGGACATTCTCGGTGAGTGAGGAGCGGGTGGGATGGAGGGGTTGTGTGAGTTGAATGGGAGGCTGGTAGGGTGCGCTTAGGCTGAACCAAGGGTGTGGGCAGGGAAACCATGCACTAGGCTGTGGGTGTTAATCATAGTGTACCTCCCCTCTCTCTCTCCCTCATTCCCTTCCCACTGACACCTGTTCTGTTCCCACCCTCGTTCACCCCATCCCCAATCATCTCTCACGTTTCCAGCCTAATGCTGCTCGAGTTGAGCGTATATCACCCTACCGGCCCTGCTCCCCCCATTCAAGTCGTTGAGTGGCTCCCAAAGACTAACGGCGTGCATCCTTGGAGGCTAAAACTGCCTTCTCCACCTGCCGTTCCTCCCCGTTCAGTCTTCCAGTGGTTTGCAGAGACGCACGACGTGCAGCGCTTCTGAAGTATCCTCGCCGTGGAAGCCTGCTCCACCTCGCAGCTTGGCATGCGATGCGCCTCTTCCAGGTCAAGCCCCGCCCAGCTGGCTAGATGTTCTTCTTTGGCACCAGTTTGGGCAACGACTGCCAATGAGGCGTCACGTCACGATTGCCATTCCAGTCCGCCAGAGGCATCAATCTAAAACCACCCAAAAGCAAATTACGAGTGTATTCCAGGATATATTTAAGCACTGCACGCACACTTGTGGAGGGACCAGACCAGAAGCTTGGCTTGATACCCATTTGTTGGTGGAAGATATGTATTTTTATTATTCATTTAGTAGTAACATAGAGTCATACAAGAATAGATACTTGTTTCGTAACACACCCCACATTAGGATTTCCACCAAATGCCATTGCTGCTGGAAGACCGTTGCTCTGGGCTTGCAACCCAACCCAACCTAGCCGATACCATTCCAATCCAACCCATCCCGCGTGCTTATCAGCAGGTGTCTTCATTTCTAGCATATCCATCCCATCCTCATCCAACCCATCACGCACTCTCAGGACGCGTCACCTTTGTTTGAACCTAGCATCGATCCTACGCAAGATTGTTTTATAGCGGGGATAAAATGGGGTAAAAAACGAAGCTTTCTCTTTTAGGGAGAAAAATCCTTCGTTTTTTCCATTTTATCCCCGCTAAAAACGATCCTGCGTAGGATCGGTGCTGGGATCGAACAAAGGTGGCGCGTCTTTAGCGCGTTGTGCGGAGCCATCATAGGAGCAATAACTGCGAGCCGGGCGAGCTGCTGGAATGAGGTGTCTATGTCATTGCGATTTAGATGGCGAACTCTTGTAGTGTTCGTCATTGGAGATGAGTCCCGAAAGTCACAGCTCTCGAAATTCACCAAGCTGGTGATCTGACGAAGGTCGAAATGGACCGCCAACCATTATTGCCGCGCTGCGGTCCAACTCCGAATGGGAGTCCAGCGCAACAAGCGGTGGTATTAGCCACACTAATTACGTACACTCCAGTAGTTTTGCGGCATGTTGCGCGTTGTGCGGCTGAGCTGTGCAAGCAGATGTCACAATCTGCTGAAAGCAGTACCATTATGGTGGTGACCGACGCTCTCCCTCCACCATCCTCGCCTCCTCATCTTTCTTTGATACCTATGTTGCCTCCGTTCCGCCATTCACCATCAGTTGACTGAGTTGCTTCTCTCAGCGCTCGAAAATCAACCAAATCGGATCCATAATCTAATCATTGCACGCCATCGTCAGTGCTACTTTCGAAATCCAACGCTCCGACGCTCGCTGAAATCGCTTGTAACCATGGCCACTCTTTGCACCGTTTTCATCCTCGCCTTGGTCCTCGTCTCTCTCCCCGCACTCTATGCCGCGTCCGTGCCAAAGCGGGGCGACGTCGTTGCTGGGGGAAGCGCAGGCGTGGACGCGGCGAGTTGGGGGCGCAAGCTGCTGGAAGCGAGCGGCGGTGACCTGGACGTGGGCCACGTGGGTGGCGAGGAGGAGGAGGTGGGGGAGGTCACGATGTTGTAATTAGGTAGGAATGATGTAGACTAGGTGAAAGGAGGGGGAACAAGAACAATGTCGAGAAAGGTACACCCTAGTGCTAACCCCCTTACAGCCTACATCAATACAAACATATATGTTTAGACACACCCCCTTAGGCGAAATGGGGGATAGCCAGAGCAAGCAATGGCCATAAGACCAGTCAAGAGAAGAAGCAAAGCACAGCTCAGGGTGGATCACAAAGTCACCACACAGTCCGAGCACAAGTGTGAGGATCTAGGATCAAGCTCAGAAAAGAGAATTGTAATTGAATGATCACCTGAGTACAACACGAGGCTATATATAGGCTCGACACAAGGCCTCGTAACCAGGTGTTACGCGAAGGTTCCGCGGGTCGCGAAGCGTCCCGAACAGGTCCTTCCCGAATTCGGTAGAAGGCAATTCGGTGGCAACCGAAAAGCCAGAATTCGGTGCACGCAACCTAGCTCGGTGCTATAACTATAATAAAATATAGGAAAGCACCTAGCCTAGGAAATCAAGCAATTCATGCATGCATATAATGATCCTATGCTAGAAATAGCATGATAAAGTAAAGGCAAGCAAGCATAGCTGGCATAAGCCGTCGTACTCTCACACGTCCCCCCCTCAAAGCTGGGTGGCGTGAGATACACCCTGCTTGACAAGATAGTCCTTGAGAGCACGGCGTGCGTTGCCCATATCAGCTTCTGCAACCCAACTGTCCTCAGTGGGGTCGTATCCCTTCCAGCGTATCAGGAACTCGAGGGTCCTGCCGCCGCGGCGCCGATGAGAGAGGACGCGCTCAATCTCGTACTCGGTTTCGTCCTGCACAAGAACAGGTGGAGGTGGCGGTAGCTGCCGTCCCTGGAACTGTTGGTTGGGGTCCTTGTAGAGTTTCAGTAGCTGCACATGGAAAGCATTGTGAAGCTTCCACATATCTGGTAAGCGCAAGCGGAATGTAACTGGTGTCACCTGTGCCTCAACGAGAAAAGGACCACAGAAGCGAGGCCGGAGTTTGGATGGGAGGTGAGACAGGTTCAAGTTGCGCGTGTCAAGAAGCACCTGATCTCCGACTGCTACTGAGTGATCACGTCGCTGACGATCGGCATACTGCTTCTGGGAGGTCTGCATCGTGGTGAGTCGTCGCTGAGTCTTCTCCCATAGCTGCTGCATGGTGGTGACGAAGTCATGTGCGGCTTGGACGTGTGCCGGTGTGGTAGGCTGCTGTGGTGTGAGTGGTTCCCGTCCGTAACACAGGAAGAAAGGAGTTTTCCCTGTGGCCGCATGTGACGCGTTGTTGTAAGCGAACTCTAGGGTCGGTAACTGTGTGTCCCAGTGGCTGACGTCGTCCTTGCAAGCTGTGCGCAGTAACTGTTCAACCACTTGATCGCTCTGTCTGTCCGTCAGTCTGTGGGTGGTATGCTGAGGACATCGCAAGTTTAGTCCCCAATAATCCCATGAGCTCCTTCCAAAACTTACTGGTGAATTTTGGGTCTCTGTCTGAGATGAGTGTAGCGGGGATGCCGTGGATGGTGATGATGCGGTCGAAGAAGAGGCGAGCAGTTGCTTCTGCTGTGGCGGTGGCGTTGGTCGGTAGGAAGTGCCCCATTTTGGAGAACTTATCGATGACTACGAGGATGGAATCATGTCCCTGTGAGGTCGAGGGAAGTCCTGTGATGAAGTCGAGACTAACGACCTGCCATGGCTGCTCCGGTACGGGTAGAGGCTGAAGTAACCCTGCTTTCTTCTGCTTGCTGCTCTTCATCCGCTGGCACGTGTCGCAGGAGGTGACGAACTGCTGCACATCTGCTGCCATCCGGGGCCAGTAGTAATACTTCGCTATTCCCGCTAACGTCTTGTTGCTCCCGAAATGTCCCGCGTATGGTACGTCGTGGAACTCCTCCAATAGGATCTGCCGTAGCGGGGCGTAATTCGGTACCCAAATCTTTCCTGAACCCTTCCTTACCGCTAGGTCTTTCTCCCACTGTAACAGTTTTTGTTTCTCTGCCGTTGCTATCTCGCCGTCCACGGAGTACCCATGTTGGAATAGACCCTTGAGCAGAGGGTTCATCCCATTGAGTTGGATGCCTGCTACATGACCTGGGCGGCTTAACGCGTCTGCTTTGTTGTGTAGCCCGGGCTTGTAGATGATGTCGTAGTGGAAGTGGGTCTCCAAGAAATCCACCCACCGTACCTGTCGTCGTGAGAGCGTAGGCTGCGACTTCAGGTATTTGAGGCTGCAGTGGTCAGTATAGAATGTGGTCTTGGCTCCTTCGAGGTAACACCTCCATGCTTTGAAGGCTACGACTATAGCTAGGGCTTCCTTGTCGTGGATGGGGTAGTTCAGTTCTGCTCCGTGCAGTTTCTTACTGAGGTAGGCGATAGGCTGTAAACCGTTCCCGTGATCCTGCATCAGTACTGCTCCGACTGCCTGGTCACTAGCGTCTGCTTCAACTACGTAGTCCTTCTCGGGGTCTGGTAGGATGAGTACTGGGGCTGTGGTCAGTGCTGTCTGTAGCTGTTCCTGTCAGAATGTAATGTTTGTCTAGCCTGCAGTGGGGTACTCTATAGCGAGTACAACCCAATTAGGGTTTCCTATTTGTATCTCAACTGCTGCTAGTGAACATCCTCCTTTCTTCATTCTTACTTCCTACTACTACTTCTGACAGTTCCATGGCTTGTTGATGCGGAGTATCCCATTTGAAGGGCGTATCCTTTTTCAGTAGGTCGGTCAGTGGCGCTGCAATCTTAGCGTACTGTGGCACGAACCTGTTGTAGTAGTTGGCGAATCCTAGGAACTGCTGCAACTCCTTCACGTTCTCTGGAACTTTCCACTTCTTGACGGCTTCGATCTTCCG